CTCTCTCTATATATATATATATATATATATATTTGACTATCTTTATGGTTATTGATGATCGTACTAAGATTTAGCTTGCTAACTTGACCTTCCCCTCCCTCTTTATATACTTATTAAAATTATTTTAACTAAAACTATTTGTAGGAAACAAAATCTGCAATAGTGCTTAAGCCCATCTGGACTTGATTCTGGGGAACACTTTGACACCCCCTTTAGTGATGTAGCACATAATTTGGTTGTTTTGTCTTTGATGAATTAAATGAGTTTATTTGCTTATTTTTCTTATCAATTTTATTTTCTGCATAACAATAAAAAATAATATATTCATGGTCTAGAATGTTATTAAGCTCACAAGAGATGATGCTGAGGAGAAAAATGGAGTAGGAGGCAGAAATGAAGCAAGCCACTGAACTCCAGGGCCGAAGAATGATGAATTCCACCGAAGCTTCTACTATAGTAACACCTTTCTGAAAAGATGCATCTGCTATGGGTTTGTATTCGTCACAGGTTTCGGCAGGAACTGGTAAAAGAAGGTTTTTTGAGTTGCCGTAGCCAATCAGGATTTTAGTTTTGTTAGACTCAACGAGAAAGCCAAGTCATGCTCGCCCTTAGTCTCCGAAGTTATTTTTCATGTTAAATGTGTAATGGATGTAAAAGATTGACTGATGTACCATGTGTCTCAAACATCTTACTATCATTTCTAGCATGAGTTATTATTGATTTTAGAAATAAGATTTTCATTGGAAAAAATAACAAAAATCCTGAGAAAATTTTTGTTTCATTTTTAATTTATTTAAATAATTTATATTAATTACATTAATAAATATTATCAACGTACATTAAATATTTTTTATTACATAAAACAAAAATAAGAAGAGGATTAGTTCTACAAATTTTATAAATAATAATGACATTATATGTCAACAAATTTTATAATAAAATAAAAACTAAATATTATGTTGTGAACAAGAACAAGTAAAATTGTTATTTTTTTCTTATATCAATGAATAAATATATATATATATATATATATATATATATTAT